CTGTCAGTTCTAGAAGGTGTTGTAAATCTTCATAGAATAGGTCAATTTCAGCCTCTTCAGCATTGGTGGTTGGTGCATAAACTTGGATTACAGTGGAACCTCTACTTACAAACGTCTCTACCTATGAACAATCCAACTTATGAACAGCTCCGTTCGCAAAATTTTGCTTCTACCTGTGAGTGCAGCTTCAACATATGAACAAAAAAAGGCAGGGGAAAAGGGCAGGAAATTTAAATGTTCTAACCATTGGTAGTGAAGAGACTGCTTCTTTGTAGCTCTTTCACCCCAATGGTTAGGAAAAGGGAGGCTCAGCCTCCGGGGCTTCCACCACTGCTGCTACTGCTGCCGGGAGGCGAGGTGCTGGACCATCCCGGCTGGGCTCAGCCTCCTGGGCTTCCAGCACCGCTGCAGGCTTTCCCGGGGTTTGCCGCAAGCGCCGCCTTTCTCCCCTGCTGCACGGCTTCTCCACCACCATGGGAGGCTTTCCCAGGGCTCACCACAAGCGACACCTTTCTCCACTGCCATCCGCTACCAGGCCAGGATTTCTGCACCACCAACGTAGGCTTCCCTGGGGTAGACTAGGCCTACCAGGGGAAGCCCTAGTCTACCAGGGCTTCCCCTGATAGGCCCGGTGTATGGCGGTGGAGAAGCCCTGGCCCGGCAGTGGCAACTGGAGCCCTGGAGGCCTCCTGGCAGCAGCGGTCGCAGTGATGGATGTAAGGTCCTGCTTTTTGCCTTTTTAAAACTTTTTTTGGTCTTTTGCAGGGTGGGATTGGGCTAGTGGGGTTATATTTCTGTTTATTTTTCGATTTGTTTCATTTTTTGCAGCCCCAGGGGCTTGCAGTGTTTTTTGGGGGGGATTTTTTTTCTTCTGCTGAAATGGATTAATTGGTTTTCAATGCATTCCTATGGGAAATGGAGCTTCTACTTACGAATATTTCAACTAACGAACATCATCTGGGATGCATTAAGTTCATAAGTAGAGGTTCCACTGTAACCTTTCTCCACTGCCATCCGCTGCCGAGCCAGGATTTCCGCATCACCAACGTAGGCTTCCCTGGGGTAGACCAGGCCTACCAGGGGAAGCCCTAGTCTACCAGGGCTTTCCATGATAGGCCCGGCGTATGGCGGTGGAGAAGCCCTGGCCCGGCAGTGGCAACTGGAGCCCTGCAGGCCTCCTGGCAGCAGCAATCGCGACAATGGGGGGTATTTTTTTTCTTCAGCTGGAACAGACTAATCAGTTTTCAATTCATTCCTATGGGAAATGGAGCTTCTACTTATGAATATTTCAACTAACGAACATCGTCTGGGATGGATTAAGTTCATAAGTAGAGGTTCCACTGTACTGTGATGTTGAAAGATCTGCCTTGGATTCGTATTGAAATCATTCCATCATTTTTGAGATTGTATTCCTGTACAGCTTTTCCCACTCTTTTGTTGACTATGTGGGCTACTCCATTTCTTCTATGGGATTCTTGCTCACAATAGTAGATATGGTAATCGTCATTCCCATCCATTTTACTGTAGTTCACTGATGACCAGGATGTTAATGTTTATTCTTGCCATCTCCTGTTTGACCGCATCCAGCTTACCAAGGTTCATAGATCATACATTCCAGGTCCCTATGCAGTATTTTTCATTGCAGCATTGGACTGTCCTTTCACTTCCACACATGTCCGCAGCTGAGCATCCTTTCGGCTTTGGCCCAACCACTTCATTAGCTCTGGAGCTACATGTACTTGTCCTCCGTTCTTCCTCAGTAGCATATTGGACACCTTTTGATCTGTGGGGCTCATCTTCCAGCATCATATCTTTTAGCCTTTTGTTTCTGTCCATTGAGTTTTTTTGGCAGAGATACTGGAGTGGCTTGCCAGTTCCTGCTCTAGGTGGATCGTGTTTAGTCAGAACTCTCCACTATGACTTGTCTGTCTTGGGTATCCCTGCACGGCATAGCCCATAGCTTCTCTGAATTATTCAAGCCCCTTCACCACGACAAGGCAGCAATCCATGAAGGGGAAAAAATATGCAGAAGTGTTTTTGTGCAAAAAAAAATGCAATTTCTGGGCCATCACAATTCCACTGATTCACATCATCTTAAACAAATCTCAGTTTAACTGGATGTTCAGATTTTTAGCCGATATATATACTGTGTACATGTCTTAAAGAACCGTGCAATTGTAACTAATCTGATGAGGGTGTTTGTTTGTAGTATTGTGTATACAAGCGGGGCCCCAACATCAGTTAATACTGCAAACATCAGTAGTCCCAAACTATAACAAACTAGCAGAAGTATTTCTACACAGGTCTTGCACTTCACACACTATGAAATCCTGTTGCTTAGCACAGTAAGTCACAGTAGAGTAGGCCCATTGAATCAGTGCAGATTTGTTGAGTTAATTCTATTGATTCAAAAGGCCCACTCTAACTGTGACTTACAGTATTTTAGCATAGTAAGTCAAAAGAGTAAGACTATTAAATCAATGGAATTTCAGAAGAGTTGATTTTAAAAATCCCTGCTAATCCAACAGGCGTACTCTAATGCAATTTACTACACAAAGCCACAGGATTTAAGCCAATATCTATTTCAACAGTTTTCCTTAAAAATCTAAGTAATTTCTTTTTCCTAGAAGCAATATCATCATAAAATTTTATTCTAGTGCTTATTTTCTTTTTACTTTCTAGGATTCCAGCCAGTTTAGTCATATTAGGAATAAATGGTGATTACATGCCTGCATGCTTTGTGTTTCAGGCTTAATATAAGAATCATATGATCATTTACCACCAGTTTCAGTAACAACCACTGGAAAACGATCTTCCGGTTTGCTTGTGTCGTGAGGCTTCTTTGTTGGCACTGTTGCTTGGACATCTGAGAAACCAATTACATATTTTGTCAAACTGAAATCTATTTTGTGAATTGGGCATCTGTTCACATAACTGTATTTTAACAAGACTACAACATTTTTACATATAAGCAAGGTTGTTGTTGTTTTTAATTTAATATGTGTGCATAATAAATTTGACTATCAGACTTTACCATAAAGTTTGGTTGACAGAAATGCTTTGAAAGCTGTCTATATACTTATTAAGACACACTTTGCAAATATTACCTTCTGCAGGATTCATTGTTCAGTTGTTCCAATGGTAGTCTGTTTTTTTCTATCCACAGAACTATTTTGATATTGTATATGGTTAATCAGAATATATTGCTTTACCACTGCAACTCAATCCAAATGTTTCTTACCATGATGTGCATCTGCTCTGTCTCCCAATTCTTTTTCTAGGATGTCTTCTGTTAGATCAATAGACCAAATTAGTTTACATTCATTTCCACATATGAACATAGGTAAAAGAAATATAAGCAATATTCTGATTTAATATGCAACTTTTTAGATATGTTAAACTAAACTGTAAATGTTACATTATATCCCATGTCATACTTAAGAAGACAAGATATCATGTATCTTAAATATTACTTAACTAGAGTGGCTATCTTTCTACTAATCTGGGAGTACCCACTAAACTCAATGGTACTTCTAATCACACACACATAGGAAGGCACTACTGTTATACTTTTTATCCCAGCATCAGTCCAAGGAGTTCAAGGTATGGATGATTCACAAATGAGTAAGAAGTGAGCAAGCAAGCAAACAGTCAGAGAGAGAGAGTTTATGTTATTAAAAATGAAGAGCTTCTCATTTCATTCTCATATTATTCATTCAAGTAAAACAAAATCTGGCAAACAATACACATTGTAAAACATATTGATGGGTACCATGGTCAATCTCATTTGGTCATCATTGTGTTCAAACAACACAATGCCTGGCCTACTGGTAAGAAAGTATACAACTATCTCTACAGAAGTTATCTCTGGACAATCCAGGTGATTAGATCATTTTGTGACTTGAGTGCTAAAACAGTTATCATGATAGTAATATAATCAATTAAGACTCACACAGAGATGGAAAACATTAGAGTGCAATTGATCATGTGTGAGGAGCTGTAGAATGGAAGAGGAACTGACCTCTTCCTAGTTCAATCAGCAAAACACAACAGCCCAAATCCTCTTGTATTATTACTCTGGCAGAAGGGAATTTAAGTAATTTGCAGTGGCAAAGTGCTACTTAATTGATCAGTCTTTATTTGGGTTCCTGGTTGCACAACATTGGCATGCAATGCGGCATCCTAATGGGAGACTTTTTAGTGTTAATTTGCCCTCACAACTTAACCTTTTCCCTCCTGCCAGCACTAGAGGATTTTGGCCATTAACTGCATTTCATTCACAATATGTAAATGCAAGGAATGATTATTAGTGTCTTACAGAGTAATTTCCCCTTGGTTTTGATGCAAGGGTCAAACAAACTGTTAAACTGCATCACACGGCAAACCAGGTTTCAGCATTCCCTACCTGGACCATACTTGCAGATAAAATTGTGCTTCATGTTGCATCTGTCATCATTCCACTGGTAAAGATAAGGCCCTCCCAAACCAGGATTTGCTGATGGTTGATGATACATCACAACACAAGCTTCACTCCCACAGGAAGGTTCATCTGTATACCAGTTTCTGTTATAAATGTAGAAACACGGGAAAATGATGTTAGGTAACTTGAATGCATCTTGTTAGCCTTTTATGTTCTACTGATTTCAAACAGTAATGGGCTGTATAAAACTGAATAAACTGAAAATGAATCCTTATAAGGCAGAGGCACTATGAGTAGGACGTTTTCAGGTTTAGGGAGGCGTTCTTAACTGGTTTTACATGGGTCTGTACTCTTCCTGAGTGAGAAAGGTGATAATTTTGGGTCCCAGAATCTACATTATCAATGGAAAAATAAGTGCCTTCTGTGGTGGAGTATCTTTCACCAGTGTTGACTGGCTTACTAGCTATAGCCATTTCTGGACAGGGATTCTTTGGTAGCAATACATTGTACAGTAAACTGCCACCAAAACTGATTCAATGGAAAATGCAGCTCCTACAATGTTAATTAGCATAACTAAGCTTTTCCACAACATTCATATCTTAAAGAAAGTTCCATATTAAGAGACTGGGTCCTCTTTATTCAATTAAAGCCTCACAGCTCTAAACAAGGATTCTTTGGTAACAGGTTCTGAATACTCCAGCAACTATGCGAGATCTTAATATTTTCCACCAGGACATTAACTCTAAGCTTGTTGATCATAACAATAATGCCCTCCTCAATTGTGATGCCCAGCTTTGAAATGCCCTCCTTGAAAAGGTACTTCTAGTGTCCACCTTACTATCTTTATGTATTTGTGCTGCTGTAGAAGAATATAGAAGGCTGAACACAAATGTTCTGAATAAGCAAAACAATCACATGACATCCTGCCAAAAGATTTCTGAGAAAGACCTGCAAGGTAGCCCCAGCCACAGGGAAATTTGGCATAGCTGCTTAGTTAGGGCTAACTCACACCACAAAAACCATTAACATGATTTAATTCATTAAAAAACATTTTAAAGTTCCATTGTTCTGGGATAATTTCTGAATCCCACATAAATGACAGTGAGTTCCCACATCCATTGGTTTTTTGACATCAAAACAATGCTCATTTTTATGACAGATTTAGGATTTGGATGGAAAAAAGGGTTTGTAGGACTCACTAGAAGTACCTTGCACAATCTTTGAGTGCTAGATTTTCTTTCAGGGATTTTGAACTCCTTAAGATATGGGACCATAGACTGTCACCATGACTGGTCTTGCGTCACTTTGGACCTCTGTTTTCAGCAGTTGCCATACTGAAATACATGTAATAAAATGATGTCTCACCAATATTTACCTGTAGAGTGAACTGCTTCCATCTGTCCATTTGTAAAGGTCTGGGCAGGCACTTGATGTAGTTTGTCCTTCACCACTTCTCCACAGCCCAATCCAGAAATCCCCATCAGAAATGCCAGGGCCCGATTTTGTGAGGTTCTGCAACATACTTTCTATCAGCTTCTGCTCTCCTTCACTTTCAAGACTCAGGAGTCCTCCACCCTCCATTTCACAGCCTTGGCGAGCCTCCTGGAAACCCACCCTTCTGGACAGGTCTTGGAAGTAGGCTATCATGTAGCAGGGATGTGTTGAATCACCATAGCATATCTTTTGACCTTAAAAACAAACAGATGATGAAACCATCCCAACATGCAGTTGGGCCAAAATACTTATTTAACAAAAAGAACACTTGTACAGCACAGAGACTTTTCTTTCCTTCACTTTTCATAGCATCACATCCTTTAAAACCTAAAAATTTTACAACTCCCAAGTTTACCAGAGTGATTTGTGTGGCTTCCAGGGCTGTTTGATTTTATCCGTGGTCAACCCGTGTTGGCTTAGATAACCCCGATTCAGTAGCTTTTTTCCGCATATGTCTGAATTCCATGAATAGCCCTAAGAATAAGCATGGCATTATAGCAGAATAATTCCGACAGAATGTAGAGAAAATAAGTCTGTGTGCCATACAAGTGTTCTTTTTGTTAAATAAGTGTGAAAGTAGCAATACCTTAAATGAAAGATGCAGGTGTACCTAGAGATGACAACAACAGAGAAGGAAAATTATAGTTTTTACCCCACAGTGAAGCCCATACACTTGCCTCCTGCACATTCCAATCACTGTGGCAGATCTCTCTGTGAGGTCACAAGTCTGTATATTCCTTTGAAACTCTCCTGCACATTCCAATCACTGTGGCAGAACTGTAAGGTCACAAGTCTGTATATTCCTTTGAAACCACTTCTTGCAACATTCAGGAAAGGGACAGCACTGGTACTCCAGTATATAGTACTGGTAACACACTGACTAGACCTGAGCCTAATTTACTGTGTTCTTGAATTCTCTTAATTAGAATTATGTGTGTTTATATGTATATGCAGTGGTTGTTTCCATACTTGTATGTGTTTTGACTGAAAAGTTTATAGCTTCAGTTTTAGAACATTAGGGTCTTTGTTTCTTCTGTTCTCCACCCTTTGCTTTCTTGTTGATAAACTTGGAGCACTATACCACTTCCAAAGTCCCTAAAGTATAAAAAGTATGCAATATAGATTATGTCCAGCTGTTTCTTTAATTACATTTTGGGTTTTTGGTAGCACTTGTTAACCTTTTTAAATGAAGGGATGAAGAAGAGCAGGTTTAATACCTCATCCAGCTCTCCATTACACCTCCGAAATCTTTTTCTTGCTTGGTAGCTCAGATCTCATCAGTGCATATGTGACATTAAGATCATTTTGCTCTACTGCACATTACTTTAGAATCACTTATAGTGAATCTCATTTGCCATTTTAAAGATCCGCAATTTGAAGAGATCCTTCTAAGATTTGCACAACTTGCTTTTGTTTTAGCAATCCAAAATAATTATGTGTCACCAGAGAGAGAGTGATTGAGAAAGGAAGAAAAAGAAACCAAAGAGTGATTGCGAAAGGGAGAAAAAGAAACCAAACTTCAAGGAAAATAAGAAATGCACAGCAAACTCAGATACAGTCCAAGGCCACACAAGATCTAACTCTTTTTCAATGTTCTTCCCCCTACTTTCCCATGAAAGCATAATTTAGATCAGAAGGTTTTATATTTGCCATTCTCTATGTGAAATGTCACCTAGTACCAGAACAGAAGCATGAAATATTAGATGGAGGAATGCATTAATTCTTTGCTTGGTTTCATAAATTAATTATATCCAAAGCCATGTAAAAAGAAAATATTTGGAACCATATAAATTTAATATCTAGAACGAATGTCAAATCTCTTCAAATACTGATTCACAAACTGTGACTTGACCATCAGCAATGTATTACTGTTTCTTCTGTTTATTTTTCGCTCCTTTCCATTACTTCTGTTCACTGCAGGAGCAGGTGTTATCCTACTTCCTTTCCATTACTGTTCACTGCAGGAGCAGGTGTTATCCTAGGAGACAGTACTGGGCTATAATTCTGGCAAGCCCAGTTGAGTTAGTGGGATTTATTTATTCATTTATTCTATTTATACCCAGCTTATCTGGTCATTGCGACCACTCTAGGTGGTTATTGTGCCTCATTGTTTGCCCCCTGAAGAAAGTATGTGCTGTGGAAGATACGAAACATACAGACTGACCTCCTGTTAGTGCAAGTTAAACTGACTATAGCTGATGTTATCATAAACCAGGACAAAATTAAACACTTGGTACCACAGTTCCAAGGTACCAATGGATCCCATGTAATCCCTTTCATAATTAGGAATCCATGAAGGCCAATGAGCAGGAGGAAGTCTTCCACTACAGATCATTGCATCTGCCAGTAAAGTCATCCTGGCAGTGGCAGTTTTTGTAATTAAAGACATCTTTCACACATCCCATGACCTCACAGGTTTCTGATAATAAAAGGGATTACAGTACTCATCAGACCCAAGGGTGCCTTGGTCCAAAAGAAGGAATTTTTTTATGTTCAGAAAAATCATCCTAGTTGATGTCACACTGTGTAACTTACATGAACAGGATTATAACCATTGGTAGTGTCAGAAAAGATTTATTTCAATTCAGAGACCTATAGTCCAAAAAGTAATGTTTCCAAGCTTTGTACTAGATGCACATTTGGTACCACCTAATTAACAGACAGTCCCCTTAAATACAGAGCATGCCTAGACAAGCATTTGTCCCCCAGTTTGGTGCATTGCTGTGGCAAACTGGTCTACTTTTTTTCTGTCATCCATATAACAAGTGAACAAATTTGCTCCTATTTACCCCCAGGGCACTTGAACCCACATCTTTTTGAATCCCTGTCAGGGGCTTCTAGTTTTTTGGTGTTGGTTGCTGTGCTTTAGTCGAGTTGGTTCCCAGTGCATGTGGTGCTGTAATTAACTAAAATTGAGTTTTGCAGTTGTCAAAGCTGCCAAGACTCTTTTTAGTTTGAATTTCCTATATCATGCAATGTTAAATAAATGAGTTGCTTCAGGATATCAGCAAACTGAACACTTAAGAAAGCAAAAAAAAAAAGCAACAACAACAACAAAAGACATGTTGGTTCATTTTTTCCTCTCTTTTTTAATGGGAGTTTGTTGAGTGCAATAGAGGCGCAGAAAAGGCAAGTGCGGCTGGAAGGCAAAGTACGAACAGAGAATTGTGTATGTTTCCGCGGCAGAGTGTTAAAAGTCTGTTTTCTTTTTACACATACACTGAGATCCTGTTGAGGAGGTCTCTTGTGCAGAAGCACATACACCCTTTCCTTTTTAATCTGCTTTGCTCCCTTGAAACAGTCCCTATCACTTATTATTGTGTGTGTGTGTGTGGTACAAAGTACAAAAAGGTGTAATTCCTTTCTTTGCTCTCCACTGGAAAGATGGGTGGGTGGTGGGAGATTGCACACACCCCTCCTCTGCAAGTTCTGCTCCTTGCTCTCTGCCTCCCCTTCCTGTGTCCCACTCTCCAAATTCAGTGTAGCCAAAAAGGAGTGCAAAGGGCTGACAGGTATCTTTCTGCTTTTGACTGACTGTCTTTTCTCCTCTCTTGCACTGCCATGCGTAGCTTGCCTCTCTCTCTTTATGCCATTTGGACATGAGAATCACACTAAATGGCATCTCCCTCCTCCCACCTGAGCTCAATTGACCCTATTTAGACCATACCAGACTGCACCAAAAAGGGCCAGTGAGGACACGTCCTAATTAACTATTTAAGGGCCACACACTGCAATAAATTCAAGGTCAAACTATACCATACACAGCCCAGATTTAGAAGTGATTCTCCCTCAAGTGGAAAGACCTCTGTCTTTCACACCACATGCTTGGTCACAGAATGGTTAACACAGCTCAGCTTGAAGCACACAGAGGAAATCCAGCCCATGGAGGGAAGTCACGTTAGCTGCAGGGAATTAGATTTTCTCTTAATGGACTTTACGCCTTTTGACCTCTGATGCCAACTGAGTATCCTTGCCACAATAACCATTCAGGTAAATGGACCATTATAGGACTTATGGTACCACCCACACTGCTATGGGCTCATTTTCTTTTTTCATGATATAGGGTGCCATTCTGCTTTTACACAAAACAAACCGAGCAGTTTGTGTGGAGAATAATACAGGGATCTTAATGGCAAATCAGAAATGGAACCATTCAGAAACCAGACAGATAACATTTCAATATCCCAGGATACTCTTATCATTGACCAGAAAATTGCCATTCTTCTAAAAAGACATTTCTTAGAGAGACTGTCAATGAACTACAGCTAAACAACATATTTGATTATATTCATTTATGTCTGAATAGAGACAACATTTTCTCTGTCTCACTACAGGTGTTAATTAACATAGCAAAACTAGGATTATATTATCATCAACCGCTGCTTTGATTGCGTTGAATAGATGCTTTGCTTATCTTAAGCTTTTCATGTAATTGTCATGGAATGTACTTTTTGCATTTCATTAGCATTCAGCTCCACATTTATGTATGAATATAAATCGGGAATGGGAAACATGATGCTGAACTGCTTCCTATTAGCTTTCACTGTTGGTTATGCTAGCTAGGAATTACTGAAGATGCAGTCCAGCATGTGGAGGGCTATGTAGAAAGAGATAAAAAGGGCTAAATCCAATTATTATTCCCAGCTAAATAGATTTTTTGAATCAATAGGACTTTAATAAATCAAATTAAATAAGCCCCATTGATCCAGTGGTCTATTTAAGTTGGACCTAACATTTTTGTTTAGTTCAGATACATCGACCAAGGATAAAACTTTGTATATCTCAAGAATTAGCCTTCAGTCCATGGAAGTCTATGCTACAGATTTGTTCATCGTACGTAATTCTGTCCAATCATACTATTTATAAATAACCTTATAATTTAATAGCTGATTAGGAGGTGCTTTCATAAACTGGATATATAACATTGTCAGTTGTTTATAGTGGCATAAGAACAGAGATAGCTCAAAGACAACCTGCTCCTCCAAACTCTTTCACAATCCCCCTGCTTTCAGTCACAATAACTGTATGTTAAAGACCTACATAGCTTGTAAAAAAAACCCCAAGTTCTCCCATCAAATTCTCTGCCAACATCTTGCTTTCTTCCAGATTATTTACTTCTGCAGTCACAATCCTGGACAGAATATGGCAATGTTTCTGCAAATAATGCAGGATTCTAGTTAGATCACGATGATGA